CTCCACCTCCTGCATGGCAGCAGATGGCTACGAGGTGACCCACGTTCGCTCCGACTTTAGCCAAGGTACCAACCCCTCAGCCTCAGGCGTAACAGAGGCACAGCTGCACCGACTCCAGCCAGAAATCTCCGGAGGTTTGGGACGGCTGGGTCTGGGCATCCCCCTCTGGGGCTGAGCATCCTGCTCTGGGGCTGAGCGTCCCTGGTTGGGGCTGACTGGTGGTGATGGAGGGTGATTTCTCTGGCTTTCCCCTTTTTTGCCATTAAACCTCTGCTTTTGCCTCCATGCCAACCTGCTCCCAGGAGGACTGCAGGCCTGGGCACAGCTGTCCCACCGCAACAGGGACTCTGGGAGCACTAAAAAACTGCTCAGAAAGATAAAAACCAAAAGGATGGAGCCTGGTGGGACCTTTCCACTTTATCCTCACCTCTCCCCATCCTCGGCTGGGAAGCGGCAGGGCAGACGGGGGCTTGGGGAGCGGGATGGGGTGCTCTTCCCCAGCTGCAGCCAGGGCTGTGTGTGTGTGGGATGTGCAGGGAAACCCTGCCATTTGCTGCGCAGCCTGGCGTGTGTAGCACCAGTTACGGGCACACCAGCAGGGCAGGGGCACCCACTGGTGGGGTACAGGCACCCATCGCTGGCAGCCCCGCTCTCTGCCTCGCCTGTGCCCCGATGGGGTGCACACGCCAGCGAGCAGATGGAGGTGAACGCGCCAGGCACGGGTTTACTCTGATTGCCTTTAAACCACGCTCCCAGCGGCTGCTCTGCTTTAATGTCTTCCACGGCCTTGAAACGGAGCCAGGCGTCAAACCCTGTCTTTTTTCCACCCTTCCTGCAGCCAGTTTGGGGCTGCTGCTTTAGGGGCAGGGTTGGCGGAGGCCCACGGCGGGTGCAAGAGGCTCAGCACGGCCGGGCAGGGTGCAGCCCCGCTCCCCGAGGCGCTCCCCAGCCCGCAGCTGAGCTGGATCAGCTGGAAGCTTCCTCGCTGGGTGAAAGGGTCCGAATTTGGGATGATTTGATAATCGAGCACAGTCCACTTGAGAGCCTGGGAGGGATTTCTAAGCATTTGTCCTGCAGGCGCCTGGGGCTGGAAGAAATAACTAACCCTGGGGAGTTGGGGGGAGTTCAACCGATTTCCGAAGGAAACCAATTTCATGCCATTACGCTCCATCTCTCCCTGGGCTTCCTGTGCTCTGCAGCCCACAGTAACACTGGAACCACAGCACAGGCAGGGGGGCAAAAGTTTAAAGATAGTAATTTCCTCTAAATATAAGCAAATAAACAGATGGGGGAGACGGCTAGGGCCACCCTCCGGTGCGTGAGAGCACAGAGCCCGAGCGGAGCAGGGTGTTACAAAGCGCTGGCCCCTTGCACGAC